TTAACAAGACCTTCAAATGATTTGTATGTAAGTGAAGGACCGAGAAGCATGGAGTAGAAGACTTGATGAAAGTGAAGAATTTTTGCGCTGAGGATACTTAAAATTCTGGGCAAACTACATAGGCCAGGGGCTACTAATTTTTTTTCTGTAAAGGGCCAAGTGGTAAATAATTTTGGTTTTGAGAGCTATACAGCCTTACATGTAATGCCTCAAGCTTGGCACTGTAGTACAAAAGTAGCCAGAGAAAATATGTAAACAAATACAGGTGTGCACCTGCTGAGTGTGGCTGTGTTCCAATACAGCTACAAAAACAGGGAGTGGGTTGATTTGGACACAGGGCCACAGTTTGCTGATCCCTGATCTAGATCATAATAAAACTGTAAGTCTTGGCTTCGATGGTGAGTTTTCCGGTTTCTGATGACTGTCTTTTGAGAATAAGTACTTTTCTTTCTTCTCTCTTCTGAACACAAAGAGCTTGCCTTTGCAATGGATTGGTGAGCTGATGTTCTGCGGGGTCCTCGAAGAGGAACTGAGACAGGCTTAGACTGAAGTATTACAAAGCAGAATCTCCTTGACAACTTTTTTTTTTTTTTAATCTTGACACCATTTTAAACTCTGAAAGTACCAAGGGATGCAACAAGGGGCAGGGTTTATACTTTTGGCTCCCTGGGTTTGTTCTTCCCCACTTTTTTTTCCTCTGGGATTCCAGCAAACTCATTTTGAGCTTCTCAACTGAGTCAAAGGCAATCAAAATATTCCTTGGAAATCTAGGAATTTGAAATCAAGGAATCAGTTGCTTACACCAAGCAATATCCCTTTGAAGGCAATAACTGCAATAATCAGCCAGGGTTTCCAAGGTAACAGGGTGGAGGTAAGATGACAAAAAAGAAGGAAAATAAAATCTATTAAGTATCTTCTCTCTAGCACCTTATATATAGCATTTGAATCTTCACAGTAAGTTCAGTATTATGACCCCCAAGTTACAGATGGAAGTTTGTTTTTTGTTTTCAGACAAGGTCTCACTATGTAGTTCAGACTGGACTTGAACTCACTATGTAGCCCAGGCTGGCCTACAACTCAATGATAATACTCCTGCCTCAGCCTACTCAGTGCTGGGATTGCAGCATGTACCACCACACCTGGCTGGAAATATTTTTAAATCATTAATATAAATAACACTTTACACTAGGTACCCTCTAACTGCTTTACAAATATAGAAACAGCCGGAGGGTGGTGGGTGCACACCTGCAATCCCAGAACTCAGGAGGCTGAGGCAGGAGGATCACTGTGCATCTGAGGCCAGCCTGGGCTACAAGGTGAGCTCAAGGCCAGCCAAAACTGTATAGTGAGATCCTGTCTCAAAACAAAACAAAACAAACAAAATATAGAATCATTGAATCTTCAAAATCGCTATGCTGTGGGAATTGTTACTGCCTCCATATTACAGATGAAACAGCAGTGCTACGGAGAGAGGTTAATTAGCTAATATGGGTGGAGATGGGTTTTTAATCCAGGCTCCCCGGCTCCCTTGTTCATGTCACCTCTCAGTTCAAAAGTCCACCATCTGACACTTGTTGAACAACTACTCTGCTGGAAAATGAACCAGGCCTAGAGTTAGGTAACTAAGTCAAGACCAGGCCTGCATGATAAACAGTAGAGCCAGGGTTAGGGCCCAATTCTGGTTCCAAATCCTGAGTTCCTTCCCTTGTACAATGATGTGTCCATGTCCTTCACTCCTCCCTCTCAAGAGATTTCCATCAGCGCTAAAAGTCTAAGTTTGGGGTTTTACTAATTATGTGACTTTTCTTTCTCTCTCTCTCTCCTTTCTCCCTTCTTTGTACTGGGCACTGGGCCAGGGAATCACACTTGCTCAGCAAGCATTCTACCACTGACCTACATCTCAAGCCCTTTTTATTTTTGAGAGAGGGTCTTACTAAATGCCCAGTCTGGCTTTGAACTCGTGATCCTCCTGCCTCAGCCTCCCCAGTAGAAGAGATTATAAGTGAGTGCCACCAGGCCCGGTTTAACATAAAACAATCTTTATTAATATAAGAGCTGCTATTCTCTGCTTTGATGTGCACATGATCTTCTGAAATACTTCCCTCTCCTTCCCCACAGCATATTGTTGTTTATCATTATTAGCCTTATTTTCCTTGTTTCTGTTCCCTGTGTTAAGGATGACGTGTATTTTAGTCCCTAAATTCATGTTCATATCCTTTTCCTTTCATTCTATCACTGGACTAAATGAATCTCCTTATTTGCCAGGTTTTGTTATCTCCATTGGATTACTCTGAGTAATCTAGATTACTCCCAGATCTTTTAACTTCTTCACCAAAAAGGCCTATACCTAATTTTAGTCTTTACTGAGATACTTTGTATTTGTCTTTGTGCTCCAGAATAGGTAATAAAGACGTGTAAGACAGTTCCTGCCTTCAGTATACTCAGTGTCTAGTACTTTTGACAGGGTTGGAATGTGGCATTGTTTCCCGATCTGACCCTACCAATAGTTACTAATACCTATCTCATACCTAGATGATATTTCCCACATTTTCCAAACTGAACTTTAGTGTTCCTACACTATAACCTCCTGAATAACCTTTGTTTCTTAACTGAATTTACTCTTCAGTCTATCTCAGTAGAATATGAATATTTTCATTACATTTGCCTGTGCCAATGGTGGCAGAGCCACAAAACCCTCAGGCTTTCATAATAAGGTAGATAGGTTTAGATCTTGGTTTTAAAAGAGAAAAGGGACAGACCTGTTCTCTGGAACCTCAAAAAGGAGCTTACCCTTGAGACTTAAGTATGTCAGTGAGAGGTGTTCAAGGCAAGATAATTTGAAATCCACCGACCTGAGTTACAGTTTTACTTTAGCCACTAACCTCAGAGTGGTTAACATTTATTGAGCATCAACAATATGCCAGTTATTTTTCTATTATCTTGCTATGCTATAACCATAAGGTACTTGACTATCACCATTTTACAAACAAGGAAAAAAGCAGAGAGCTTAAATAACTTGTCCCAAATGGTGCCAGGAGCAAACAGTTTCACAAGAAGTAGTCTAGCCCCACAGCGGTGCCCGTAGCCATGAACCTATATTATATCTTTTTTTTTTTGGTCTTTTTGAGACAAGGTCTCGCTATGCAGTTCAGCCTGGCCACCTTGAGCTCACTTTGTAGCCCAGGCTGGTCTCGAACTCTCAAGGATCCTCCTGCCTCAGCCTCCCGAGTGCTGGGATTACAGGTGGGCACGACCATGTCTGCTCTGTCTATATTACATCTTGATAACAGTAGCTTCCATTAGTCTTTCTCTAGATCTGTAATTCTCACTGTGGATTCAACCAACTGTGGGTGAAAAATATTAAGGAAAAACACTGTCTGTACTGAACATGTACATTTTTTTCTCATCATTATTCTCTCAGCAATATAACAACTATTTACATAGCATTTATATCATATTAGGTGTAATAAGTAATCTAGACATGACTTCAAGTGTATGGGAGGTGTGTAGATTATATGCAAATACTATGCTTCTCTATCCAGGGAGCTTAAACATCCCTGGATTTTTTATCCTGGGCACCTGTGTGTCCTGGAACCAAACCCTGTAGATACTGAAGGAAAACTGTACTAACACACCTTGTAACAGGTTCTAATTTTGTTGTCATTTAATCACTAATACCCTTAGATTTATAATAACCAACTTTTTCAGATGAAACAACTTGGGCTTGGAAAACTGCTAATATTATAGTCAGACAGGGTTAGGCCTTTCAGGGAGTCAGTAGAGATGAGCGCCTATCAATACTGTGGCTGGAGGCATATTTGAAGATTAACATCAGAATGGCCGGATTTAAATATTTCCCTAAGGGATAAACAAGAGCCTGAGATTACTGGTATGGTGCTTTTGAGATTTCCCGTGTAAATAAACCCTTATGTCAGGGCGTTCCTCTCCCAACCACTAAGACTAACACTGCTAAGGCTAAAGACAAGACTACAGATCACTGATACAGGTTAATGACGTCATCTTTGTACACTTCCTAAGTGATCCGCTTCCTCATTGGATCAATATTACCTAAGCGACTATACTTGGAGTCTTACTGCTTGATCATAATTTTGTCCCACGTTGTACCCACCTTGGGATTTTGCTCTATAGACCTTTGAGAAGTGGGCTCGTTGGCAACCCATTTGGGACCTCCTGCTGCCTTTCAGGAGCTATACCTGTTCCCCATTCCTTTTCGCAATAAATTTTCCTACACTTAACCTCTGTGTTCCTTAGAATTCGTTCTTTGACTTCAGGGATCACGAACTCTGCGGACTGGACATCTATCAGGTCGGGAGTTACAAGCCTCTCCCCTGTATCATTTGGAGGTCCCATATCACTACCACTAATTGAAAAGACTCAAGCTCGGAAACCAGTTTGGAAGCTGGCTCCAAAAGCTCTAACTCTTCAGCCACGTACGTCTCTGAGCCTCAGTTTCCCCACCGCTGAAATACAGAGTTTGGAGGTATTTCAGTTCAGTGGGGACAGGGATACAGAAACATCTGAACATGGGCGTGAGACAAGGTGCGATACTGCAGTCAAGCCACTGCGATCCAGGGCCCGGCATAAAAGAGACGAGCGCGGACCCGTTCTGAGGCCTGTGGGTGAGAATGAGCCTGATCGCCCCTCTCTGGCCCTTGCGGCCGTCAAGGCCAAGGGCTCTGTCTGGGTCCCCTGACCGTACCCCACCCGCCCAAGTCCTGCTCCACAGGATTCTCTAGTAAAGCTAGAGAAGGAAGAGGCGCGGCCTCCTCGCCCGCGAAGCAGAGCGCCACGTCCCCCTTGGCTCAGCTTCCCAGTGGCTTCAGCGCGTAGACTCCCCACATCGCCCGCCTTCAGTCGCGCAGGCGCGACCTTGTACACACCTCGACCAATCGCCGCCCTCCGCGATCCCGAGCTGGACCAATCAGCGGTGGCAGAGAGGAGGGGGCTGTCGCCATGGCAACGAAGAGGCGGAGGAGCTCTGGGCGGGCTTAGGGCCAGCGCAGAGCCTAGAGTTGCGGGCTGAGGAGACTGGTCTGTTCGCGGTAGGCATCCAGACGGCGGAGCCTGGACGCCAGCAGGTGAGGCTGGTGGCCTGGAGGTGGTGCGGATGGGTACAGGAGGAGGCTGGGGCGGGTGCTGAGATGAGGCGCAGGTCTGCTTGCTGGGGAGGTGAGCATGGCAGGGGCCACTCGTGGGACCCGCGGTTGGGGAGGGGGCTTCCTGCTCCAGCCTGAGGCTCGAGGTCCCCTCTTCTGCTCCACTCGCCGGCTTTCTTCGGACTCTTGGAGAGAGCATGCTGGGGTAGATGTAGGAGCGGGGCTGGGCTGCTCCACCCGGGTCCTGGTGGGTCGGGGGTGAGGGAGGGGGCCCCCGCCGGTGAGGGCCTTCTACCCACCGTCCCGGCTGGTGCTCAGCACCCCTGCGCTGCTGGGCGAGGCTAGGCCCGGGAATCCGGCTCGCTGCACATTCTGGGGAGCCAGCGGTCCCTGACACTTAGAAGAAAGTTCCTGTCTTTCTCTCACTATGGGTTTCCCTCGAGTGACAAATGAGGGCGAGATAAGCCCTTTCGGTTTTAGGGGGTCAGGAAGATGGTAGTTCCTGTTGCACCTGCTAAGCGTGAATTAACCCAGGGAGTAATGTGGTTATTGTGGTTAGTGCTGGTAGCGGTCTTACATGGCAATTATTTTACAACATGAGAGAGAAAGGGGTGGAGGAAGAGATAATGAGAATGAACAGGACATCTTATTCTGCTTTTTCTTCTTCTTCTTCTTCTTTTTTTTGAAGACCGAACCTCTTGAAAATCTTCGAGTCCAATACATTTCTATGTTGGATAATGTACTCTTTATATAATTGAATTAGTAAGCGCTACCATCCAAGCCTTTTATTAAGGGTCTGTTAAATCCATGGATGAATGTGAACAGTAAACCATTTTTAAAACTTAGGTTAAAAAAAGCCAGGGGAGAGTAAATGCAAGTATTTCAGATAGTTTCATTTGAAGGAGATTGTGGGTTTTTCCTGTGGCAACGTTTAAAATATTGAGAATGTTGCTTAAGGAATTGACTGAAAGCAATATGACTAGTGGTATGGTAGATTTGGATCAGATAACATATTGCTTCCTCTACTATCTGTTCAGTTTTCTTTGTTTGTCTTGAGGCAGGGTCTCCCTAGGTAGTTCAGACTGGCCTTGAACTTGCTTATGTAGCCCTGGCTGGCCAACTCAGCTGCCTCAGCCTCTGGAGTGCTGGGATTACAGGTGTGTGCCACCATACCTAGCAGTTGTTTGTTTCTTAAGGTCTTCCCTGGTGGATTCTGTTAAATAATTGGACTCTGGAATATCCAGGTTCTTTTCTTTTTTCTTCTTTTTTTTCCCCTAATCTTAAATTTTTTTAGGAGGGGGAACAGGGTCTCGATATGTAGTTCAGGCTAACCTTGAACTCGCTATGTAGTCCAGGCTACCCTCGAACTCATGTCAATACTCCAGCCTCAAGTAGCCAGGCATGGTGGCTCACGCCTGTAATCACAGCACTTGGAGGCTGAGGCAGGAAGATCTGTTGTGAGTTCCAGGCTAGCCTGGGCTACAAAGTGAGCTCAAGGACAGCCTGAACTACATAGCAAGACCCTATCTCAAAAAGACCAAAGAAAAAAATACTCCACCCTCAGCCTCCCCAATGCCGGAAATACAGGCCGAGCACCACCAGGATGGAATAGAATATCCAAGTTCTTGAGTCTTTTCTCATAGAAACTGCCTGCGGGTCCACCCTGATTTAAGCTGAGTGTGAATCCTTGTTTTGTAAAATTTAACAAATGAAAGAAATATTGGACAAACAAATATCTCAATAAGTGCTCCATAGTTAATAGGGTCAAAAACTTAAATCATAGAAATTTAGAATTGTCCTGGCATTGTGGTGCATGTCTGTAATTCTGGTACTTGGGAGGCAGAAGCAGGAAGATTGCCATGAGTTTGATGCCAGTCTGGGCTACGTACTGAGTTCAAGGTTATCTTGAACTACACAGAAAGACCCTGTCTCAAAAAAAAAAAAAAAATTAGAATTATAAGTGGAATCTCAAGCCACTTGAGATATGGGATGTAGCTCAGCAGCACAGTGCCTGCCTGGCAAGCACAAGGTCTTGAGTTTGATTCCTGGTGCAAAAAAGTTTAAAAAAAGGTGGAGTCTCAAATAATATTACTGTTGTTATCGGGGTGAGCTTCTGTTTCTCATCTTGGTCTTCAAACTCTCCATGGTTCCAGCAGCTTCTAAGGGCTGAGGCTGTTGTGTTTCCCTTCCTCTGCTCTCCCAAGGTGCCTATTATTCATATCATACTTTACTTTTTGCAGTTGTGCGGATTGAACCCAGAGCTTTCCTACTGAGCCACATCCCCACTCCTTTTTTATGTTTTTTTTTTGTTTCTTTGTTTTGTTTTTTGAGGCAGGGTCTCACTATGCAGTTCAGGCTGTCCTTGAGCTCACTTTGTAGCCCAGGCTGGTCTCGAATTTACAACAATCCTCCTGCCTCAGCCTCTGGAGTGCTGGGATTACAGGTGTGTACCACCGTGCCCGGTTTATGTTTTTGTTTTGAAACAAGGTCTTGCTAAATTGCTCAATTGCCCAGGCTGATCTCGAACTTGCAGTCCTCCTACTTGAGCCCCCAAGATGCTGGGATTACAGACATGCACCACCATGCTCAGCTCATAGTGCGCATTTTATATATCCTTTCAGCATACCTTTTGCCAAATTGCTTTGTAATCAGTATACAGTAACTGAAACGAAATCACAATTTAAGCAAATACACTAGTGGAAAAACACTAGTTATTAATTATGGGTTCTAATTTAGAATATCAGAGATGTGATCTATACCAGTGTCTTTTTGTTTTAGGATCTGTTCTCTATTTCTGAAGATATCCCAAACTAATTTTGTGTTACTTAGAATGATCTATATCAAAAGCACATTCCAAGACAAAAATATGCAATGTACCAACTATTGTAATTTTCTTACTAATCTGTTTTGAAACTTGGTTTCATTGTTATGTTTATCTTTTTTCCTCTTTGAAATAAAAATAAAATAAAATAAAATTTTATGAAATGTGAATTTAAAAAAAATCACATTCTACTCTCTAAGACCTTTTTGATAACTGGGGTGTACAAAATGCACTAACTCAAAAGTGTTAGGTAGCTGGAAGAATCAAGTATAGGATATTAAAATGTATTGAAAAAAATCTTTGAAGTAGATACTTTTTAAGGTATTGTGAATAATTGAATTGACTATATTTGGTGTGATATATAACGTTTTTTCCTATAACTAAAGGTCTAGAAAGGGAAATTTGGCTATTTTTATGTTTAGTACATATCTTATAAACTTTAAAAAGCAGGCTCCTAATAATTTAAAATAATGTATTCAAGGAAAAGATCTCAATCACTTCAATTTAAAAGTTTTTTAAAGCCACAATGTGGTGACGAGTAGGTTTAATTCGAATTTCATGGCCAGATTCCAATCTGTCTGTTGGCAATTAATCTTGGCCAAGTCAGTTAACTTCCCTGTGCTTTTATAACCTATTATTAAAGACTAACCTTTAAGATTGTTTTTGGACTCAATCCCTGATTCTAAAATTCTGAGGCAACCTAAGGGAAATTGAGATAGCAGTCCCATGCTTTTATTTTTGGCAGAGATTTGTTTTGTTTTGTTTTGTTTTTTTGGTTTTTTTTTTCCGGTACTAGGGATCGAATTTACGACCAAACTGACGACTTGCCATGGAGGCGCTGTGCTGCTGAGCTAAATCCCCAGCCCCTGGCAGAGACTTTTTGACATATTGTATTTTAGTTATCTAAAGTGTAGTATGCATAAATATTGAGGCCATTGTAATTGTAATAAGTATGTTTTTGGGCTGGCATGGTGGTGCATACCTGTAATCCCAGCACCTGAGAGGCTGAGGGAGAGGATTGCCACTAGTTCGAGGCCAGCCTGGGCTACACAGGGAGACCCTGGCTCAAAAAAAAAGTTTTTGAGTGATGAATTTAAACAACAGTTTATGCTTTTCATAAGCCTATTTGCCAAGAGTACTGTAATCCTGTCAAGGCTGGAAAAAAGGAAGATATAATGATCGCTTGGTTTCTACTGTAGGAACATCAGAAGCAGAGCTCTAGAATGATGTCTGGGTTAAGGAAGGGTTAAAGTCCAGCTCACCTGGTCGTTCACCTGCTGTTTTGTTTGAAACCTTTCTCATCGACTCATTTTCAAAGGGAAAAGCGTGAACAGGAGGTTACTTCTTGTCTTTGTCACTGCTGCAAAATCCAGAAACTCCAAGCCATTTCTTTGTCCCCACCCACCTTTCCCCTGCTTGACAGGAAGAAGAAGCAACCCAGGTTTCCCGCCTCAGGACAGTGCCTTTGAGAAAAAACCTGGGCCTCTTCTTTCAGCTCCGTGTTTTAACAGCTAGGAGGAAGAGGTTGTGTTCCATTCCTGTTGGATGCGTTTTTTCCATTGACTTATAACTACAGTAGAGCTTTGGTTATAGGAGTGTTCCAAGAAAAGCTCTCATGTGGCCTTTCAAAAATAAATATTGTGTGTAGGCCTTAAGACTTGAGCATTTGCTCTTTTCATATACCAGATTAATTGCTTTGTATTCATTGTTATTTTCAGCCTGTCAACAGACTTATGAAGATATATTAGTTAACTTTTATAAGTAAGATAATGAAGACTCAGAAAATTAAGTAGTGCCGGGCGTGGTGGTGCACGCCTGTAATCCCCTCACTCTGGAGGCTGAGGCAGGGTAATTGCCATGAGTTTGGGGCCAGCCTGGGATACATAGTGAATTTAATGCCAGACCGAACTACAAAGCAAGACCTTGTCCCAGAAAACTAAATAGAGGCTGGGGATATAGCTCCAAGAACATGATAAAACACTTTATTAGCCCTGGGTTCCATCTGGAGCACCTTAAAGAACAAAAATAAGAAGAAAGGAAAACAAATAGCTTACATGGAAGAGGTTAGGATTCAATTTGCCATGGTCTATAAATGAAAGTCATGTACCTTTGTAAGTTCTAACATTCATATGACCATTCCACTGCGTAGATGATTTTATTTTAAATAGATCATCAAAAAGCAAACAGAACTGGGTGTGATGGTGAACTTTTGTATTCTCAGTCACTCAGGAGGTTGAGACCAGAGGAATACAAATTCTAAGCCAGCCCAGGAAACTACTGAGACCCTGTCTCAAAATGAAAAATTAGAAGGATACTGGAGAGGTAGCTCAGCACTTGCTGGGTTCAGTTGCTAGTACTGAGGGGAAAAATTTGTGTGTGTGTGCATGTGTGTGTGTGTGTGTGTGTTTTATTTAAAATTTGAAAATATTTTATTTGCTTATTATTTTTCAGACTGCTTAGAAATAATTGATTTTGTTCATCAATGAGTTTGCATATGAGCTGTCTTGTATTATGTAGTGGGATTTCAAAAAAGAATGTGAAATGTGTTACCTCATTGCTGATCTCTATGACAGACTGAATCAAGGTTAATATTTCTAAGTAGTGATAACAGTAAAGAAAGATTCCAGTTAAGGATTTAACAGGAAAAGATAGCCCGTAACTTGAAGTCTTATTGATGAAAAAAATAAGCTTTTAACCTAAATTCCTCTTCGTTATTTAAAAGGGGAGCCATGTAGTAAAACTCGGGCACAGTAAGTTAATATCGTTATTTATTCTGGTCTTTGATTCTGTTTATTTCATGTATCTCTTCTCCCCACTCAATAGAATGTAATTTAGTCTCCTGCATCATAAAAATTTGGTACTTTTCATACTGTGTGACAAATGCAATAGTGTCATGTGCCATTACACTGTAAGTCTAAATGTATTATTATATTTAATGTATCCTTATAGTTTTCCTTTTTTTTTTAAAAATACATTTAGAACCTAAGAGTCAGTTTTTCATGAAAAAAAAGAAAAAAACCAAAAACATTGGACTAGGAGTCAACAGTAACTACCTCTTCACCAACTTGGTACTGTGCAAGTCATCCTACCTCCCTGGATCTCAGTTGCCTCATCTGTAAAAAAAGAAGATAAAAATTCTTTATCTGTCTGAAGGTAAGTGCTCAGTTGATAACTGCTTTTGTAACAAACCAAAACAACCACCACCAACAACAAAACACAGAAAGAAAAAACAACCCCCAAACAGACTTAATAGGGGCTTAACCATACAATATTTATTTTCTCATTTGAAATTATTCTTGAAATAGGCAGTCTGGGATAGGTATAGTGACTGCTCCATAAAGTCATGAAACCTAATCTTCCAGTGTTTTGATCTGTGATTCCTAAGGTGTGGCCCGGATTCTCACAGTCCAAGAGGGCTGCCAGGCCTCAGACTTCACAGTTAAGTTCCAGACACCAAGGCAAGGATGCCTCCTCTCTCTCAGGAGATTTTTCTGAACCCAGGATCAAGCCACAAGGTAGTGGGGAAATATAACTGAGTATGTAGCTACTCTCAAAATTGTGTTTTTGCTACTGAGGAGGAAGGGAAGATTTGGATATTAGTGGGAAAATAGTGTTTACCACAGTATGTATGGACCTCTTCCTCTTCCATCTCTGAGACTTATAAGCTATGATAAAATACTCATAGAAGCTTCAGTAATTTACCATAGTAGAGCTTTAAGCCTGACCATTGCCTAGAGAAAGAATCTTCCTTTAATGAATTGTTTCTGTTTTTCTTTTATACTGTGATTCATTATAGAAGCATTTCTGTCTTGTTTCGGGATTTGTCCTGGTTATTTAAAAAATTACCCATAGATGCCTAATACATGTTTATTGGGCAATTTATGGTTGTGTTAAAATGAGCTAACATTTATTGAGCTTGCTGTTAGCAAGGCACTAACATGATACAGTAAGTTGTCCCAAGGGTATCATATAATTCATCGGGAATTAAATTTATATTGGTAAGTATAATCCATCTTAACATATGTTTAAGTTCAGTATGGTTACATGAGGTGCTTTTACCTTCCTTTCTAGTTAAAAATGGTTTTTTGGAGCCTGGGCATGGTCATGCACCCCTGTAATCCCAGTACTTGGGAAGCTGAGGCAGGAGGATCATTGTGAGTTCAAGACCAGCCTGGGCTACAAAGTGAGTTCCAGGCCAGCTTGAACTGCATAGTGAGACCCTGTCTCAAAAACAAAACAAAACAAAACAAAAACAATTTTTTTTTAAAAGAAACCACTTATCTGTCACCTGTCTTGAAATCTCTTACCACTAGTCCTTGGTTAACTTGTTTAGGCATACCAACAATTTTATTTCTTCTAGAATTTTTTCTTTGTAAATATTATGTAAATATACCCTGTTTTGTCATGGGAAATGGTTTTATTTTCTTTATTTTTGTACAAAAAATGACTTTGAAAAAAGGAAATTGAAATTCAGGGAGTCAAAATTGGAGCAAGAAAGAATCTGAAGGTTGAATCAATCATTTAGGGTTTTTAGAAAGAAGATAGGGCTGGGCGTAGTGGCACACACCTGTAATTCCAGCACTGTAGAGGCTGAGGCAGGACAATCCTTGCAAGTTCGAGGCCAACCTGGGCTATGTAGTGAATTCAAGGCCAGTCTGGACTACATAACAAGAACCTGTCTCAGAAAAAAAAAAGAAGGAACAATTTAATTTCTGCAAAATATATATTTTGTTGTTGTTGTTCTTTTTGAGACAGGGTCTTGCTCTGCAGTTCAGGTTGGCCTTGACCTCACCTGGTAGCCCAGGTTGGTCTTGAATTCGCAGCAATCCTCCTACCTCAGCCTCCTGAGTGCTGGGATTACAGGCGTGCGCCACCACACCCAGCTTGTATTTTGTTGTTGAGGTACTGAGGATTGAATCTAGAGACTTCACACTGAGTTACATACATCTTTACCCTTTAAAAAAAATTTTGGTTTTTAGTACCCACTTTCTACTCCAAAAGAGTATACATTAACCTTGGCTGATTTTAACCCTTTCCTGTCCTTTTATTTTGAAAAATCTCACATCTGAAGAAAGTAGCAAAGTAGTAAAACCTTTCCATGCTATTCGCCTAAATCCCCAATTGTTGGCATTTTATCATGTTTTCTTTATAACCCCATAGGTGGGTATTTTACATGCACAACTTAAATCATTCACTTTGAAATTTATACGAATAAGCTTATACTATGTATATTCTGTCTCTTTGCTTTTCTTTTTTTGTCTTTTTGAGACAGGGTCTTGCTATGCAGTTCAGGCTGGCCTTGAACAATATCTGGTGTGGGTACTTCGTACAGAAATATTTGTTCAAAGAAAACATGGTTTAGGCTTCAAATGAAAAGGGTGAGAAAATGAAAGAAGGTTAAGGGAGGGAGACAAAGACACTAGGGAGAACAGACTATTTACAAGAAAAGAGACCGACAAACTACTTTCCACTTTTTCGTCTCTTTTCGCCTCTTTTATCTATGCTCGTTCTTTTTAACCCACTTCCAGAATATCTTGCCCCACAGTCAAAATAGGGAACTATTGACACCACACACACACACACACACCCTGAGCACACAGATGCATACACACACACACATACATAATTTTAATCTGGCTAACCATTGGACGGAATCAGTAGCTGAGAAATCTGCCTTTCTGTGTGAATGTGAATTTTGATTTGTCTTTTTAGGCCTTGGAAATTCAGGGAAATTGTATCTAGAGAAGGTTAAGAAGTGTTTGCTTTGTGATTATGCCTGAGGCTCTGATGCCTTAGGGATCAGTGCTTTCTCTGTCTCAAGATGACCCCTGATTTAGAATGTGGCCTCATCCTACTTTACAGAATAAATTCTCAGCCAATCCTATTTGGATCAGTCCACTGTTTCACCGTCATCCAGCTCACTGTCTCCGGTTGTAGCTTTCTTACGGAAGAAGTGGGTGATAAAGGAAAATAGACGCCCATTCTTCTTGACCTGATATTGGGAAAAAAAGTAGGTTCATCTTCACTTCTTCACTTGGACTCTCCTTACCATCCACCTCTCTCTCTTTTGTATGGATATTTATATATTTTCCAGTCCATGAAAACCTGTCTCCCAGTCCTTGAGAGGCTGAGCAGGAAGATCACTGAGAGTTCAAGGCCAGCCTGGGCTAAATAGTGAGTTCAGTACCAGCCTGAACTACGTAGTTAGACCGTGTCTCAAAAAACAAACAAACAAAATAACAAAACACAAAGAAAGAAAACTTATCTCTGACACATTTGACATTATATTGGTATTTATTTAAAGAGATTTTTGTTTGTGTTTTTGGTACTGGGAATCAAACTGAGGACCTTGCGCTTGCCAGGTAGGTGCTTGTGCCACTGAGCTATATCCCTGGCCCCTTTTAAAGAGATTCTTATGTCATTACTTTCCTACCTAATGTTCTTGAATGCTTTGCATTTCCTTTGTTATCATAACAGCTGCCATTTATTGAGTCTTTATTGAAGGATAAAGTCCTGGCCAGGTCTCTTGATGCAAGCCTATAATCATAGCATTTGGGAGGCTGAGGCAGGAAGATCACTGCAGGTTCAAGGCCAGCCTGGACTACACACTAAGATCCTGTTCCAAGGGAAAAAAAAAAGAATAAATCCTTACTTATGTCTAGAATAAACACTGAATCAGTAGAAGCTAGTGAAGGGGAAAATATATTTAAAACCTCTATCCATCAAAAAGAAATAGCCAGGCATGGTGGTACACACCTGTAATCCGAGCACTAAGGAAGAAGATCCCTGTGAGTTCAGGCCAGCCTGTGCTACATAATGAAACCTTGCCTCAAAAAACAAAACAACAAAAAAAGAAACAAGGCATGAAAGGAGAGGAAATAAATATTAGAGGCAGGGCAAATAAGAAGCCCTAAAGAAGATGGTTGATTTAAAAATTTAAAATGACGTACAGTACCTGTATTTCATCAACTCTAAGACCTCATTGATGTTATATAACATTGTATGCATGTAGAAAAAAATGCTACCAATTAAACAGTGACATTGTGCTTTTCACCTACAATTTCACTTTAGGTTTACTGAAAAAGCATTTTAAGATTAATTTAGAGCTAGGTGTGGTGGTTCATGCCTGTAATCCAAGCACTGGAAAGGCTGAGGCAGGAGGATCACTATGAGTTCAAGGCCATCCTGAGCTAAATAAATATTAATTTAGACATATAAAATTTTTTGCACATCATTTTTGTGCATACATGCAAAATTAAAAGTGAAGTAAATTGGTTAATTAATTCTTTTTGTATTGGTACTGGGAATCGAACTCAGGATCTTGTGCTTGCCAGGCAAACACTTATGCTACTGAGCTATATCCCCAGCCCGGTTAATTAATTCTTAAAACTTCTCCACATTCATAATCTGAGTCTTTGAAAACACCTTCTTCAATTGTCAGTGTCTACGTTTCTCTCCACCAGGAAGAGGGAGGATGATTTTCAAGTCTCTGCCTGGGATTTTCTTCTAAGCCTCTGACACTTATTTTGCAAGCCTTGGTGCTGGTGCTTTTTCATCCTATCAGAAGATGACAACAGAAAGTGCTCAGATTCATGTTCTTTCCTCAAATCCTCAAATGGTTTATTGATCAAAAACACTGAAAGCTAGCAGTTGTCCTGACATGGCTGCTGGGACAACAATAATTTATGTTACTTTTCAGGTGACCCGTTTGTTGTTTGTTTGTAGATTTTTGTTGGTTTTATTTTGTGATACTGGGAACAGAGGCCAGGGCCTTCACACTGGGCTACTTTCCCACCCCTTGTAAAACTTTTAAATTTTTGAGACAGGGTCTTGCTAAGTTGTCCGGCCTGGGTTCAAATTTGTAATCTTCTTGCCTCACCCTCCCAAAGTCCTGGAATTACAGGTATTTGCCACCATACCTGGCTTCAGATAACCTGTTCTTTAATTATTCAGATTCATGTTCTAAGAATGTGTCAAGACCTAAAGCAATGCCCTTGCCAGGTTATGTAGGGCCTTTAAACATTCAAAAAAATAAAAAAAATAAAAAAATCATTCAAAATAGCTTTAGCTACTTTTCTTCACTCAGCCATCATCTGTCCTCCCTTTTGTTAATGCAGACAATAACGTCTTTGGGAAATAATTTTGTAGTTTAAGATTTAATATAACAAGAACTTCTAAACTGGGCATGGTGGTGCACACCTATAATCCTAGTACTTGGGAGGCTGAGGCAGGAAAATTGTTGCAAGTTCGAGACCAGCATGGGCTACAAAGCGAGCTCAAAGGCCAGCCTGGACTACATAGTGAGACCCTGTCTCAAAAAAACAAAACAAAAAAAGCCTTCTGTCCAGAGACACTTATAATAGTGCTTGCAGTGGTACAGGAATAGTCTATTAGTGAAATTTTGTAACCTATTCTCTTATAGTGATACCTTTTGCATTTTTAACATTAGTGTGTTACTTTGAGGCACATAAAAATCTCTGAGAATTTTGTCATCTTTCCCTATTGACTAAACTCAGCTTTTTCTTCTACTACACATTGCTAAAATTTATGAAACCTCAGTTCATATTAGTAGGAAGTTTCCACAAAAATTAACATTTGTCTTAATGATGGATGAATCCATGAAATTGGCTTCATGTTTCTGAAAAGGTTTTGGAGGGGCATCATTTCTGCTGTAGTCATTTGCTATAGATAATCATATTGTATCTCAGTAACAAAAGTACTGAGCTTTATTTGTAACAAGTAACAAGCTTTGTCTGCTTCCAGGTATCTTCCTGTCTAAAGTCTGGTAAAATATTTAATTGTTCCCTTATAAGAGAAAGTGAAGTTGTTGTTATTATATCAAATATTTGCTTCACTAATAACTGCTTCATTTCTACGTTTATCAGAGAACTTTTCACTTTAATGCCAAATTATATCATAATATTTTTGAAGACACTTAAAACGATGAGGTAATAATGCAAAAAAACTGAAGTTATGACACAAGAACATTCATGTATTGCAGATAGTAAAGATTTGCTACTGCTGCCATTGACCATTCACAATTTTAACTTTCTGTTAATTAAATTAAAAGACAAGTCTCTGATTTCTGAGGTGTCCAACAGAGCAGGGGCTGGTGGTGCATACCTGTAATCCCAATGGTCAGGAGGCTGAGGCAGGAGGATCACTGCCGGTTCAAAGCCAGCCTGGGTTACATAGTGAACTCAAGGCCAGTCTGAACTATACAGAGAGACTCTGTCTCCAAAAAGGAAAAAAAAAAAGAAAATTAAGTATAAAATCAGTAATTTAATTAAACATAAACAGAAAAAATACTCCAGTAAAAGGCCAAGACTGTCAGGCTGGGTAAAAAAGTAGAATATATACATATAAAAAGAAAACTGGGTTTACTGTATTAGTATCAAATAAAGTAGATCTTAAAAGCAAGTAGAGATATAAAGGTCACTTGAATGTGATATGAGATTAAATCTACCTGAAGGCTAGGAAATTTTATTTTTTTGAGACAGGGTCTCACTATGCAGTTCAGGCTGGCCTTGAGCTTACTTTGTAGCCCGGGCTGTTCTCGAACTACGCAACGATCCTCCTGCCTCAGCCTCCTGAGTGCTGGGATTACAGGTGTGTGCCACCACACCTGTCTGGAAATTTTAAATTTATGTACACCTAATATTTAATTAACAATTGACTCAATTATAAAGGAAAAATCTAATATTATAATGTCAAGACTTGTACATATTTTTCTAGTAGTAGTACAGTAAGGGGGCATGGCTAGTGTAGATGGTTGGTGATGATTTATAAATCATATTTATTCTTTTTTTCAGGAAGGGTACAGGTGATCAAACTGAGGGGTGCTCTCCCATTGGGCTACATTCCCAAAGCTTTTTACTTTTTAAGACAGTGTCTCACTAAATTGTCCAGGCTAGCCTTGAACTTGTGATCCTCCTGCATTAGCCTCTTAAGTAGCTGGGATTACAGATGTGTGCCACCGTGCCTGGCTATTTATTCTTTATTTTCACACTTAAATTTTTTTTTAGTTTGGATTTTTTGCAGTATTTTTATTTGCTTTAAAAAATAGAAATGTAATTTACATATCCTATAATTCACCCTTTTTTTTCTTATCTTTTTATTTATTTATTTATTTATTTATTTATTTTTTGGTTTTTCTCCGGTACCCGGAACCGAACTCATGACCTTGCACTTGCCAGGCAGGCGCTTTTGCCGCTGAGCTAAATCCCCAGCCCCATTTTATTTTTATTTTTTTTATTTTTTTATTTTTTTGGTTTTCTTATCTTTTTGAGACAGGGTCTCGCTAAGCTGGCCTTGAGCTCACTTTGTATCACAGGCTGGTCTCGAACTCATAACAATACTCCTGCCTCAACTTCCTAAATGCTGGGATTGTAGGGGTATGCCATCACGCCCAGCTTGTATTTGATTTTAAAACAAACACATTTCCCCTTTAAAATCTCAGTGTTTTGTTCTCTAAAGTTATCAGTAAGTGAAATAATTTTTGGTTTTAAGTGGCAGTAACAATTCATTGTCTCTTTCCTGCAAAAGTAAAAAATAGCCAGGTATAGTGGTGCATGCCTATAATTCAAGCACTTGGGAAGCTGAGGCAGGAGAAACACCCTGAGTACAAGGCCAACCTGCAGTACATAGCCAGACCATGTCTCAAAAAAAAAATTTTAAAATAAATCCAACTTGAATCAGATGCAGTTCTGATACTCTAAATTTTTTTTCCTACTTTCACAGAAACAAGATCTAAGTTTGATTACAGGATTTAATATTTCACACTTGTTTGCAAAGTGTGAATATCTCCTGTTTTTAAATTGTATCTGGATATGAACTTTGTTTGGTAGTTGATTTTTGTTGCTGTTACTATTAATTTTTATAGCTCAGCACCCCAACTTGTTCTTTGCTCTGTGAATATAATTTTAATTCTGTTCAATAATCAACGTTTAAAGGCATTATAAGTCATATAAATGAATCATTTTACATAATTGGTGTGAGTATAAGCAACTTTGTATTTCTGAATGGGTAACAGAAGAGATCTATACTCAATAAGTAGGTGAATTTAAGCTGAGAATAACTACATAATAAATTTAATAGAACAATGAGGCCTAATGAAATTCCCTTTTTAAAATATAATTCCTTAGTTGACATGTTGGCATGTGCCTCTAGTTGGAGACTGAGATAGGTGGATCTTCAGTTTGAGGCCAACCTTGTCTATGTAGTTTATCACTGGCCTAGACTGCATAGTAAGTTCAAATCGGCCTTTATTTTTATGAATGAAGAAACTGAAGTGGAGAAAGTTAATTGACCTGTGATCACATAGCAAGTTTGTGGTGCAGCTTGAATTAGAATATAGACCTAAATTTAATTCTGCTTTACTGTTGGTTAAAGAGTCATTTCCTTTTTTTTTTAAATTTTAAAAATAAAAGGAGGAAAACATTAACAGACAACCTTTTACAAAATAGCAAAAGAACAGTACAGACAATACAGAGTTACAAACAAAGTGGTAGGAAATTAACAATGCTTGTTGTATTATACATTGATATCTTCAAAGTGGTTTCTCATGAAAACAGAGACATGCAATATTGATCAATCAAGGACTCATTGACACTTTCTTTCAGCAAAGAAATAGAAGACAGTAGAACAGCCATGTTAACTATCCTGTATATACATACATACAAAATTTCTCCTTTCCCCTCTCTTTTCCCACATCCCAATTGCCCTTTACCCTTGAGTGCTTTCCTATCATTTCACAATATCTATCATACCTCCTAGTTTAAATGAACTCTTTCAGGTTTTATACTAGTGAAACAATGTGGTGCTTGCACATGTGTGTCTGATTTATTTCACTTATGAGTATGGTCTCTAGTTGTGACTGTTTACCTATAAAAGCCTTGAGTTTATCTTTCTTTATAGCTGAGTAATATTCCATTATAGAAATCAGGAGAAGCATACACTTTCTTACCTTAGACACCAAAAGCAAGTTACTGCCAGGTGTGGTGGTGCACGCCTGTAATCCCAGCAGTTGGGACGCTGAGGCAGGAGGATCATTGTGAATTTGAGACCAGCCTGGGCTACAAAGTGAGCTCAAGGCCAGCCTGAACTGCATAGCGAGACCCTGTCTCAAAAAGACAAAAACAAACAAACAAAAAAACCAAAACAAAACAAAACAAAGGTCCCCAAAGTAGAAACAATCTAAATGTCCATCAACTGAAAAACGAATACACAAATATGGTATATGTACACAATGGAATATCTATTCAGCTATAAAAAGTAATGAAGTGCTAGTATATGTTACAACACGGTTGAATCCTAAAAATATAGTCTCAGTGAAAAAGGCAGACACAAAAGACCACATATTGTGTGATTCCATTTGTAGGGATGTCCAGAAGAAGCAAATCTATACAGACAGAAAATAGGTTAGTAGTTAATATGGCATAGGGGAAAAAGGGGGTAGGGAGAGACTGCTAATGAGTATAGAGTTACTTTTCAGAATGATGCAGTGTTTTAAAATGAGATAGTGGTAATGGTTGTACAGCCTTGTGAATGCTTGTGAATGTGGAAAAAAAAAAAGACACTGAATTATGCCACTGTAAAGGGTAAATTTCATTGCATATGAGTTTTTTGAGGGGGGCGGCAGGTGTTTTCCTGTACCGGGAATCAAACTCACGACCTTACACTTGCCAGGCAGGTGCTGTGCTGCTGAGCTAAATCCCCAGCCCCCATAGCATATGAGTTATATCTCAACAAAACCAAAACCACTACATGTGTGGGCCTCAGCATGAAGGAGGAATAAACCTTTGTTATTAAAAATGATTGTGGCTGGGTGTAGTGGCGCACGCCTGTAATCCCAGCACTCGGGAGGCTGAGGCAGGAGGATTGTTGCGAGTTCAAGACCAGCCTGGGCTACAAAGTCAGCTCAAGGTCAGCCTGAACTGCATAGTAAGACCCTGTCTCAAAAA